GCATGCCAAGCTCCTCGCCCTGGTAGACGTACAAGGTACCCGTGAGAGTCGTCTGCATGATGCAAAGGAGCTTCGACCCCGCGACGCGATGCTCATCCGAGTCGTCGCAGAAGCGTGACACAGACCGAATTTGCTGTGGTCAGGCATTAGCGTCAGTGGCTAGGGATGGGGTTAGGGACAGAATAGGGAAGTAAACTAACATCGTGGTTCTCTAAATAGAGAGACGACCATCCGCCGTTGGCCACTACCCTGCTCATCTTCTGGATGATGGCACTCATATCACTGACGGCCCAGTTCCTGAAGCTGAACTTGCCCTTCCCGGGGATTTCGTCTAGCGCCATCAGCTCAAAGGTGAAAATCATGTTAAGCGGGCCTTCGTTCGCCTTCACGATCTCTAGTATCTTGTCCTCGTCGTCCAGGAACGGCATCTCCCCAACTGTGATGAGGTCCTGTTTTGAGAGAACCTCGCGCTTCATCTCCTGCAGGTAGTCCAAGAGCTTAGGCCCGTTGGCATAGAACTTTCTCCCGTCCTGGTAAGGCCTGGAAACGTCGGCCACCTCCGCGTCGGCGAAGCTCTGGTCCTTGGAGATGAGGTTGATCACGTCCATGCGGAAGCCGGCGGTGCCCTTGTCGATCCAGAAGCGGAGGATGTCGTACACGGCTTCGCGTACGTCGGGGTTCTCCCAGTTAAGATCTGGCTGGTAGGGGGTGAACAAAGAGAGGAAGTATTCCTCCGTCTCGGGATCCCACGTCCACGCAGAGTTCGCCTCATCGAGGATGCAGGCCCAATTGTTGGGGGGGTGCCGGGTACCGTCCTCATCGTACCTAGCAGGTCGCCAGATATACCAGCTTCGCTTCGGGCTTTGCTTCGAAGAAGACGAGTCCAGGAACCATGCGTGCTGTCCTCTTTTTTTAGCTTCCAAAGTCAGCCGAGTTCCGTCTTCTGGACTCTACTAACTTTATGAGAGGTGTGGTTGACAACGAGGTCCATCACAAGTTTCATGTCGCGGCTTTTGAGCTCAGAAATAAGACGTTCGACATCCTCCATTGTCCCGTAGGGAGGATGGATGGCTTTATAGTTCGCCTAGAAGGCGAATTAGCACATCTCATATTATCTTGTAAGTCGACTGACATGCGTACAATGTCGTATCCCATGTCCATCTGGGGACTTTCATAGACTAGCCATAAGTTAGTATCCACCCCTCCCCTCCTCTTCTTTTCCCGCCAAAATGTGTGATCAGTCGGCTTACTTACTCGGTGTAAGCCATAGGATGTCGACTAATATCAAGTCTACGTTAGTACCCTCGATATAATCTAGTTCTCAGCTCAGGCACACATACCGCCTAGTTCTTTAAGGTAGTCAAGTTTGGACGTAATGCCATTTATGTTTCCGATCCCATCACCGTCGGTATCCAGGAACGATGAAGGGTACACCTGTAAAGCTCGAGTCAGGATGAAGTCATATGCAAAAGGGTTTATTTTCCACAGACCTGGTAAACCACGGACTCCTTCCACCACTGGCGGTCCAAAGGTTTGGCGACTCCACTCATGATTACGGCCTTGCTAAGTACGTACTCGTACTCGAAGACGAACGGAGGGAACTGGGCAAGACAGAGGGCTGTGTCAGTTGATGTGTTAAAACTGTATGTATGCACACCTTCCACTCCCGTTTACTAATCAGGAATAGAACAATGAGGACAAAGTTGGAGTTGGGCAGATATTCGGTTTAGAAAATCCGGTTCGTTTCGGAGTCTTTCTCGGAGTAAACGGAGTGCGGGGTTTCGATAGCGGCATCGGCGTGCGGCGTGGCATGGGCCCACTCCATCGTCACACAAACACAGTCCATCATGTTCTACAAAGCAGTGCTCATTGCATACCAGATAGGTATATGATTCGTCAAAATTATGCCATAGGTGCGACGGTCAAGATAGTTAGTGTACTATCGTTACTCTCATCGTTTTCCATTGATGGATCAGAGCCGCCCAGCCACCCACCGCACAATCAACAGTATACGATATCACAGCATATATGCACACCGAGTCCATACAATAAAAACATGGCGACGCAACAAAACAATTTCGACGCATGTATTGGATGCCTAGTATACCTGTGGTGCAATTAAGTTCAAGCGCAGGAAAGACAGCTCTAGTTCTTCACGCATGCCAACGGAGATGCTTTGCCTAAAGCCCACTCTCCTCAACCTGTCCATCGTCGACCGCTGACAAGGTTTAGTCCTGACCTTTCGGTAGTTCTTACCTGTTCTAGTTGCAGAAATCGAAGGAAGGACAATAAAGGATCGTTACTGTATTAACGGATTCTTATTGTGGGACGCGTGCAGGACTATCAGTTTGGCTCGAATCGTGCAATGCACATCTGCCCAGGTTTAACATGTCAAAGCAGGAGACTTCACACACAGGAATAGGTTGCATCCATAAGGAGTGTTTTTTTCCCCATGCTCTGGAATCACGGTCCAATCTTTGCAAAATGCCCTGTTAACCTTGTACTGCAGGTTAGAGGCTATTGGGCCTGGTCTGCAGTCTCGATGTTAGTTAGGACTAAGTGATAAGTGATGTCGCCTAGTATCTCCACAGACGCTCAGGATTCGATAGATTCAGTGCATACTGCAGGAGAATATACAATGGCGTAAAATGTAGCTTTGCATTGGCTATGGACTCTCCTCCATTCGCAGCATCACGGGTCTGCGTTGTATATAATTTCCCAGCTTAAGCCAGTTCGGTTGAGGTAAACACACATAAGAAATACTCCCCCTTCTTACGGTTGCACGTCCAAGCGGGGTTTAACTAGTCGAGGGTGCAGCCACCGTTGTTTAGGGGTGCCGGTTACCCGGGTTAGCTACAACCTAACTCCGGCGAGATCGCCATCGCATTCATTTACCACTGAACGTTAATCCAGACGGAAACTGTCTTCGCCCGTCCAGGTACAACAATTGATTCCTGGAACAGGAGTGACTACTACCGAGAAACCAGCCCTACCCCATTTCCTCTGGCCAGTTGGGAAAACTCACGCAGCTTCTGGTGGGAGCAGATGGATGAGGCAAGCTAGAAAACGAACTGGCCAAGGATTGGTAAGCTGGGGCGAAGTTGGCATTGTGAGGACCGCGGATGAATAGCTTGTTTCTGTGTTTATTTTCTCCCCTTTCTCCTTTCTCCTTGCCGACAATGAGTTGTAGTCGTTACTAGTTTGGATGACTTCACATGTTTCTCAGCCGTGAGCCGCGGCCTAACTCACTTCTCGCTCTTACTCTCCCATTTCGCCAATGACAAAGCCCAGATTTCCCAATGCAGATTGCATGATTGTCGATCGATCAGCGGCGTCATTCTCCCCGCACACACGACTTTTGATTCCACACTACTTGTAATCAATCGCCTTTGCGCATCACTAAATATGCTTGTATTGACTCGAAGACGATTGGGGAGTGCCCGTCTTCCATCACCCAGAGACCATTATACGATAGAATTCATGTTCGTAGTAAGTCTAGTAAGTCGGTAAGCCTCCATCGACGTGGTGATATCTTCCGAGTTGCACCATGCCCCTGTTCCTGCACATGCGGGGCGCAATTACGGGATGCCCTCGCCATGTAACCCTGCCCTGGTCCCAGGTACTAATCCCCATGGGGTTGACTTCGCGGGGTAAGACTAGGGGGCGATCATATGTCACCGAGGCCTAAACGACCCACACGATAGGTAGGATCTAACTCAAGGGAGGGAAGGGGGAGGACTTCTAAGTCGGTTCTCGTACGGGGAGTCAGTTTTCAAGGTTGGGTGGAAAGTTATAAAGTCGGTAAATAGCCGCACACTGTTTCCCCCATCCCTTGGTCTTTCTGCTTAGCATCTCTACCTCACTCCTAGTGTTGAATCATCCTTCTTCTCCGACTAAGAAAAGACCGTATATTCAAAATATACATACAGATATACACATATAACATGCTGCCGACTCGGATCCTCGGTGCTGTCGCCCTTGCCGTCGCCCCCGTCCTGGCGGATGGCGCCGCCATCGCCGACGCTCTCGGCACCCTCAGCACAGCATCGGCTGAGCTCAACAACACCGTTGCGGAGTGGTCGGGCGATCTCTTCGGCGCCCTTCCCATTGTCGGGAACTCAGTGGAGCTCCTGGCCAAGACAAAGGACGCGACCAGCGTAGCCGAAGAGTCCGCCGACCTGACGCAGGAGGAGACTCTGATGCTCGCGGGTTCCCTGCAGGGCCTGATTACAGACATCGACAACACCCTCTCTACCCTCACGGCCGCCAAGCCAAAGTTCGACAAGCTCTTGTTCAGCCCGGCCATTCTGATCGACCTGAAGATACAGAAAAAGGAGACTGACAACTTCTCCGCCGCCGTCGTCGCCAAGGTCCCTGCCGCGTTGCAGGGTGTCGCACAGGGGATGGTGGACCAGGTTGATGCTCTGTTTGATGCGGCCATTGATGCATTCAAGCTGTTCTAGGGACATATATTTGTTTTCTTCTTTAAGGCATTCGCCCGTGGATCTTGGGACTAGGTCTAGGGGCTTGGGTTAAACCTAGGTATTCATAAAACGTTTATCGAGAGTAGAAGACAATAGATAAATACCCTGAATCGACATTGGAGCGGCATACTTGTGACTTCTAGAAACTAATAGAAATTCTACTGGTCTGTTACAGAAAATAAATGTGAGTGGTTAAATTCGTTATCACACCCAAGACTACCAAGTAACGCAAATGGGAATAACTAGTTGGCAGTGCTCATTGATAACCTTCCTCGCAGTACATATAACAGACATGTCAGTAATGGACGTCTAGACAATGTAGTGATGGGAATTAATACCGCAGAAACTCCATGACCCAGTGGTTCTAAAGATCAACGCAAAATATTGCCTTGGAGTCTCAACCGTCAACCTGAAGTCTGAGATTCACTGCGACATATACGTGAAAATGTCCTCATACAGGAGGAGACTGCCGTCTGCATAAAATGGCGTTTGAAACGTGATTCTTCCACCAGGACGGGGCGTGTGGTGTAGTGGTATCACGTTTGCTTTGCACTCACAAAAGCGCAATTGTAAAAGGTCTTCGGTTCAATCCCGGACACGTCCAAAGGAATTTCTTTTTTGCTTCCACCACCCGAAGAGAGCCAAGAGCTAAACGCACGGGCCAACCTTCATTGTGAGGAATATGACCGAAGTTACATGGGCACTTGTCACTTAACCTTTACAAGATTATTACCATAAACATCACTCGCCATATTTCCATTTGTCCAGATTTACTATGCATCCAAAGCTGGGTACACACTACTACATCACATGGGTTGGCGATTATCACCTAGAACTGCTATCTCCAACCCTTGAAGCCGGCAAAGCAACTGGACCCTAGATTATACTTATAACGAATTTGACTATACCGCGGACCATCAATCGACGAAACCGTCAAACACAACCTTTTTCGCTGTAGAGACTGTCAGCATAGACCATCTAGAAATGGGGGCGCAGGTTAATGCGTACTGCGGGGGAACGGTCCCCATTCGCTACCATCCGCCGCTAAGAACTCCCTGAAGAAGCCGCCAGCGACAGGCTTGGACCTCATCTCTCCCATTGGCCCTGGCGCCCGTCTGAAGTTCTCCAAGCGAGCACATGTCCGCAGCGTGCTCGCGGCGGCGACCGTAACGATCGGCCGACCAAGACACTCGTGGGGACCCCAGCCGTGGTGGATGTAGGAGCTTTCCGGCCTGTCCAGCTTTATCTGCTGTGGGTCCGGGAACTTGGAGGGGTCCTGGCCGGCTGTGATGAACGAGGTCAGGACGGTGTCCCCCTTCTGGACTGTCTTGACTTGCGGGCCGTCCTGGATGGTCGCCTTTTCCGTGTCAACAGTGCGGATAAGCCCGAATGCTGGTGTTGAGAGGCGAAGACTGCGATGAGTGTTAGAAGTTCCTCAAGACTGTAGGGAGAATGAGATAGCGTACCCTTCTAGAGCGTATTTCTTGAGCTTCTCGAAGGCTTCGGGGGCGTCGGATAGGGCTAGCTCCCGGATTGCGGGCCAGTGGCGATAATACTGCTCGGACAGGAAGAGATCGATCATTTGCGCCCACTGTAGTCACAATCAGCACTCCGGCTCACAAATGCCGATGGGGAAGGGATTCAAACCATACCCCCTGAGCTTGGGTCGCACATGCCGCCGCTGCCGTCGGAATGATCGTCCAGACCGTGTTATCAACATCCTCACTGACGTCAAGTATCCTGCTAACGAGCTGGTTTCCGTAGTCAACTAGAGACGCTTGAGCCTTCCCCATACCCAACAAACTCTTCAGTCCCTGGAATCGCGGCGAGTTCACTTCCGATGTGGCGGCTGTCATGACCTTTCCAAGGCGCTGCGCCTCTCTGATTGCGACAGCTCGGTGTTTGGACGACTTGACGGGGTCCAGATCGAGGAAAACGTAGCCGAAGAGGTTGGCAAGTACGTCATACAGTTGCGATTCTGTATAGGCACCTGAATCACCGCCACCCTTGCCGCTGTTTTGTAGAGGGATTCCGAAGAATTGAGACGTAAAGAGGGTGTGTATAATGTTCCCAACGCTAAGTGAAGTTCGCAATTAGCTCGGTTGGGCGCCACCCTTGCCTACTCCGACAGGGCCCAGATACTTACTCTGCCACAATGTCTACTTGATAGGTATCACCCAGTTTGCGACTGCGCTCGCGTAGGACGCACTCAGTGGCCGATTCATAGAACTGCCGTACCTCGTTCAGAGCGTTCTGGGGTTCGTATAGACACCTCTTAACGGAGACTCTCTGTTGAGCATTGGCAGGAGCATCCCCGCTGAGCATGTAGTCGTGGTGAGTCACCTCGGAGGTGTGCTTCCCCCCTACGCAGGCTGTCAGCACTTATAAGTCGAAGTGGAAATGTTAGCACTGGTAGTAACGGGGGGTTACTCACATGGGACCTTGAAGTGTTCTTGGTCGTTTAGAACGTCAACTACTCCCTTCCAAGATGTGATAGGGGTAGGGGGACCAGTCAACGACGGCTTTTCGAAATTGAATTCCTGAGAAGTACCGCGCTGGCGTAATATCTCAAGGTTTCCTTCGACTGTGGTAAAGGGATACAGAGCGTAGACGCTGTTTGAGCTGTACCATCCCGGAAACGCCTGCATGAGAAGCTTGTACATCACGCCGCCTTGGGCCACGTCAAAGTCGGAACTGGCAGCGTTGAACCTGGGTGGACGTTAGCCTTTGTGCCTTGCTTCTCAGTGGTACAGTTATCTTGTCTCAGAGCAGGACAGGAACAGTACCCGAAATTCGTCAATGTCGATGGGCTATAATCAACCGAGTAGAACCGATCCCCTCGGACGAGAGCGACAGCATCGGACAAGATGGCGAAGGAAGTGGTGAAGTTTGCGCACAATCCGGAGCCAGGCTCGAGCGATGTCTTTGCCTCTTCGGCCACAATTCCTGGGTATAACTCGATATTGTCGGGGTGCCCGTAGAGAGCTTCCACTACACCAAACGGTTAACACGATGACACCCGAAAATATCTTTCACGGACGAAATATTGGCTTACTAGTGTCGGCAACAGACTTATCCGAGTTCACCTCAGCTAAATGGGATGAAATCAGCTTACCCTCGCTCCCGATCTAACAGACAACCCAGGTCATCACTCACCAAAGGTCGTATACGGCTTCAGCTTAAAGAAGAGCCTGAATTCGTTCAAGGTCGCAAGACCCCACCTCCTGCCCTGCTGGATGCCTAGTATCTCAACTGCCTTGATCACTTTAGGGGTATTTCTAGCGCCATATGCCCCTAGAATTCGGGTTAGCATGAGCTGCTCTGCAGGTGGGCTTTAGGACAGCAGGCATACCTGCCACGTTCTCGGACCCAGCCTGCAAAAGGTTGACGAGCGACACATCGTCGAAACTTCCATCCTCCTTCCGTTTTAGGTTGCCAAATGTCCACTTTCCAGGATCTTCAGGCTGGTCCTGGAACCACTTTCGGAGCCCACCAAGGAACTCCGTCACCGATAGTTTGCCTAGGTCAGGTTCAGTAGGTGATCGAAGCGCATAGTGCATCATATGATACAAGGGGTCTATCTCTTACTTGGATCGGCGGTAGGCCCAAAGACATCGGCAAAGAACTCGTTTGCCCAATCTTCATCATGATTGCTGATGGCGGTGTGCCAGCGGTAAATCATGTTAAACTCGGCACTTACCTGGTTCCCGACCCCCCTCGGAGTTCCCTGTGGATCAAAGACATCGGGAATAGTCTCCCTCGGGTCGAGCCTCCAATCCGTATCGGTTGGATTACGGTTCAGGTTCAGTATGGCTCTGAGGTAGTCGTTCAAAATCATGTTGACGTAGAGTCCGCAGGTGACGCTTCTCCACTGTTAATACATCGACTTGCTGGCTGATGCGCAAAACCAAAGAAGATATAAAACAGCGCTAGGACGTACAGTCTTCCTGTCTGAAACAGTTCCTCGTCACGGTTCTTCATGGCCTTCTCGTAAGCAGGGTCTTCGGTCGACATCCCTTCCGGGATACTAAATCGGCCACCCTCGTTAATGGTGGCGATCTCCCCCACAACGTAGTTGTGGAACCGGTTGAAGGCAACGATCATAGCACACACCCCGGGCGGTTGTCCAAGGAGTCTTTGTTCGGAAAACGCGTCATTCTTCAGCATTCCGTCTTTGAAAGTGCGGACGCGATCCTGCTGCTCTTGTGATGACCCATAGAGCGGCCCGAGGTCGAGGTATGCCGAGCTCCTCGATTTAGTCTCATCTGCCTCGTCGGTCACGAAGAGATCTATTTCAAGTGTTAAATCAGGCACAAGATTGTATGACAAAAATTGGAAACCTACCGTGGATGATGATCGTGGCTAGATAGAAGAGATTGCTAGAGATCTTGCTTGGATGCTCCCTAGCAGGCCCATTTCGGGCCAACAAGGCTGATGTAGAAGTCAGATATTTATTACTGTCCATCCTTAATCCACTATGGTGCTACACCACCGCTCAAGGATACTTACAGTCAAAAATGAGAGAGGGGTCAGGGCGGACCAACGGCTGGGGGTGCTTTGGCGTTACCGTCCGCGCGTAGGAGCTCCCGGCTTCCCCAAGGTGAGGGTACATGATGTTCTATACAGGGTCAGTCCTTCACTTAGATCGTGGCTAGAGTGAATAGGAATGAGCGTGAACATACGTTGTAGGAGCCATCCGCGGTTCGATACCTGAACTTGTCCCCTAGGTAAGATATGGGCGGGTGTTGTAGTGTGGTCCACAGCGTGTTGACGAAGGTCCCACTTAGATCATTACGGATCGTCGAGCCATTGGGGAGCGATGCTGCTAGTTGAACGATTTTCTCCACCTGTTGCATGTTGTCAGTAGCCAGCATACAGTACCATTTCCGTGCATCTATCTGCGTATGCGCACGAAGTTTCCCAACGAGATTCACAGGGAAGCACATACGAGGTATTTCCGGTCGTCGATAACACCGCCTGCCAAGAAGGTCTGGTAGAGGGCTTGAAGTATGGCCAGATCAGGCAAGATACGATGACTCTGGCTGATGAGGTCCTGGCGAGCTTCGCTCAGGAGCTTGGTTATATTCGATGAGTCGGATGGGACGGCATGGCCATCCGCCTGTGTGGTGGGCATGATTGATTCAGGGTGGGGTAAAATGTAGTGTTGTTAATGACGGATTCTAATAAAAGAAAAAGGTGAAAAGAATAACTCGATGGGTTCAGATTAACCGCACAAGGCACTTATATTGGTTTATCTTCCAACCCGATTGAAATAGGAACGGAAATCCAGTGTGCGTCCTACAGACTTGGCTGAGGTTGTGGACCATGTTAGTATAAGATATCATGACAACGGTCTTTTCCGTCTTTTCCCGATTTTCTGGAGAGGAGCAATTCCAGAACAAGACGATGGGATGACATTCAGCCAACATAATGGCTTTCTTTGCATGTGATCTCAAGCATCATAGGTAGGCCATTTATTACATCGCCAGGTCTGAATTGGATCTAGACCTGCGACATAAAGTTTTAAAGCTAGATCAAACGATAACAAGTGGGCTGGGCATGCCGACTGGGTTGCAAGCCACCTACGCCACAAAGTACACTTTA